GAAGAATATCAAAGCATCAAATTGAAGTCTATAGTATGTATGGATTAAGTTTACAAGAGGAAAAAAAATTTTTATCTTTGATTTTATGCCAAAACTGCAAAAAAATTCTTTGCTTCATCTGAAATGAGCAAATCTGTAATTAAACTTTCATTCTTGTAACTCTTTAGAAAGACAAGTTAATTTTTCTCTTGATTTTGGACTTTTTTCTCTGCTTTTTAAATCCCTTTACATTAGCGGTTTTATTTTTTGTCATTGACGTTACTTTGACAGTTTTCGCAAGTTAAATAAAAAAAAAATGTACCTATGTGAAAAACATAACTTTGATAAAAAGCAACTCAAACAAACAGCTTTATAATAGAAAACAAAGTCATTTTTCACAAGAACTATCATTATTTAATTAATTGCAAAGTGACATATATTGTCAAATAATTAAAACCGCCAATGTGATAGGACTTAAAAAACACAGAAGTCCATTTTTGTCTTATTGTATTTTGTAACAGCCCCTTCTTGAAGGAAAACTTCCTCGGGAGATTTTGGTCTATTTACATAGCACCCTGTATGTATTATATTATAAAAATCTCTGCCTTTTACATCATTTATTTAAAAATGCTTTTTTGTATTACATGTATTATCATTCTAAGAAAGGCATAGAGTAGGTAATACTTCTTCAGCAAACGCCGAGGCAAACATCTATAAGAGGGCAGCACAGGTTAAACCCTCTACATTTTAATAGTCTTCTTCTGTATAAAAACCTGTACACTGTAAGGCTTCTCCACTCTGGTTTCACTTCAAAACGAATAAATCTTTCGCCTTTTACTAAAGATTTCCGTGGAGTGGAACAATGCAAATGAGTCTATAACAATTTTTTGATGCCCGGCTTTTCAACTGGGCGATAATCCAATTACAAGCAGAATTTTACAAAAAAATTATAATTCAACTAGTTCACAAACTGTAGTTTTGTTGGACGCATATGCAAATACAAAGACGAGTCGAAATCCACTCAAACACCTTTCAATTGACAGACGTGGTGGGTACAAAATTTTTCTTATTCTTTAGGTATTCGTAATAGGTAAATGCTAGTTCAATAAACTGTTTGCAAAAAATAAAGACAAAAAAATTAAAATCGAAGATTTTTTTTTATTTGAGAAAACGTGGAATATAAATATTTCATAACTATGTATTTCAGGATAAATAGGTTTCCGGTATAAATAGCAACTGCCAAGAGTGATTACTGATTAGCTAATTGGAATTAAGCGGCCCTTGCTGGTGGCAGGGCATGTGTGCATGTGTTTGAGGAGTATCAATCAGCAGGGCATCACCTGACCGAGTGCGCCCATACAAATTGCCTCATTTCAAGCCCGAACAACGGCCTGCAAGACAGACAGACACATTGGACATATTTATTGCGCGCCATGACTGCTGACTTATTCTTTCTGCTCCTCGTGACCATATATTTATCCTGCAAGAAACACTCCGAACCGATCATTTCCACCACCGTTTTTTGGTATTTCTTAATAACTTCGGCATCTGGTTTCGCTCTAAATCAATTTAGCTTCTGACAAATGCTAAGTGGTGCGTTTGCGTCCGATCACAGACTAATAAAATGTGCGATAAAGGACGTTGTTGGTTGGGCGTCTTCGTCTCGCTGATGCCGAATTTGTTCGTTCTTCTTCTTCTTCATTTTCGTAGGAAGCCGGCGACGAGAAAGTCGCGGAATGCCGGTCGAGTACATTATGCAGTGCCCACTTCAGCCCAATTACAAGCGCGACATTCACCGGTGTCATCTTAAATAAGTCCACTCTCTGATACAGCACCACACCTTGCCACATACGTTCTACTCTTTACTGCGCCTTTTTACCGCACGCATTGTTTGATAACCACCTGCAATAGACTGGTTAATATGACACGGCAATAGGGGGCAAGCTCGAATTATATTGTTCGCATGTGAAGGCTTCGTTACCCATGTCTTTTTAGCCTACACGGCAGCATTGCACTATCAATGCGAAACGTGTTGCTTCTATCTACTATCGGATTGTGCTTATTAATTAGTTTAAATACACGATTCATTTTAAATTAATGGAAATTAAATTGAAATCGAGCGAATTAATACTTACTTACCACCGTTATTTATTTACCACACACCTAATTACGGATTTATAATGAAGAATTAATTGGAAAAACGAAATTTGCACAATGCACGATCTTTCTTTTTCTGATTTTTCTATAATAATTAACAAAAACAAATAACCTTTTCTCAATGAGACTGCAACGACAGATTAGGTTTTTACAAACTCACCTCTTACAAAATTTTGCAATATTTAGATTTTTCATAAAGTAAAAAACAAATAAACAAAGTGAAAGTTTTGCATAGTAGCCCAGTCAAATTAGACAAAAATAGGGCGTTTGGTGGAAAAAAATCCTCTAAAGTTGGAATTTTTTTAAACGTTTTCTTTACACTTGGGCAGACATATATTAAAAGTCCCCAAGGGTGGGGGCCGAGCTCGAGGAGGGAAAGGGGGTTAAAGGTGTCTTTTTTTGGTTTTTTGCTTATATCTCGGATATATGTCTACCCAAGTGTAAACAAAGCGTTTTAAAAAAGTCCAACTCTCTAGGATTGTTTTCTACCGATTTGTTTAATTTGACTCGGCTATAGTTTATTTATGAATGAAATGAATTTTATTCGAAAACGTCACAAAACTGATCCTTGTTATGACACAAGGAGTAGGCATTTTACAAAAAAAAACAGAAATATGTATGTGTTAGACATAATGCAGTTTGATTGTCAAAGGGGGACTTAATGCTAAGGTGAAAAAACTTTATTTTGATATTTAAATATCTATTAATAAACATTTGTACATGTTGGACCTCTTCCTCATCTGCACATGCGCATTTTTTCATGAGTTTTAATGAGTACTTGGTTGGTGGTGTGACTTCTTTTGAGTAAAAATTCTTCTGGCAGCGCTTATTTCTGTTATTTTGTAATGTGTGTCAAAAAATTTCCCCAGGTTAAAGCGCCAATGGAAATCAGTTGATCTCAAAAATGCCCAAGTGAGAAAAGGATTATTTCTATCGAGACGGCGATGATGCTTCAGCAATTTCTGGAGAGGTACATTGCAGATTACTGGCATTCGACATTTTGCACTATTAACTGCAGTAGTCATCCACTAGTTAAATCAATAAACCCTTTCAAAAACCTCAACACAAATTCCGATACTATGAATTTTTTTGCCTCACTACGTTAGGAAAAATAAACGTTCAGCTTCACCATATGAACTATGATTCTTAATAATCTATGAATCTTAATAACATAATATCCTACCATTTTCTAAAAACTTTAGATGTAGGTATTTATAAAACGTTAAAAAAACGTTAGGCAATAAAATAAAAAATAATTACCTATACAGGGGTAAAAATCGTAGGTATCAACTGTATTTAGAGTTGTATGATAGACGGTTTTGTGCCATTGAGGATCTTAGATAGTTTTTAATCAGTTTTAATTTCGAAAAAAGCCTTTTGCTACATGCACTTGTTATTGGTAAAGTAAGAAAATTATTTAAAGCTGTTGCTACGAATATTTGAAAAAACAGATTCTAAAGAATATTTAGGTATAAATGTTTTCTAAAACTATTACTTGGTTTATCACTTCATAAGACTTAGCTTGAACAAAATTAAGTAAAAACTTGAGACTGCAGGGGCTTACTTCGCCTATACCTAGTTGAAGCACTGTATCATAGATCATTATTATTTTTTCAGATGCGCTTATAAAAATATGATGTATTATTTAAAAATCGATAATTTGTATAAATAAAAAATAAATTGAAATAAATACATAATCGGAAAGTTTAACACGTGTACCTATACATACTAAATGTTGTAAAAACAAAAAAAATCTTATTCAAATTGAATGTCGAATAAGTTTATTTAACCTAGAAATAAATACTAATTGTGACTATTTGTTTACCTTACCACAAAATAAAATTAAGAAGTTTGGACGTTCTAGAAGTAAAAACTTTTTACTGTTGTAAAAATAGCTTTAAGGCATTCTCTATTAAAAAAAAATAACAATTTAAAAACCGTAACTTTTAAACAAAGAACCAAATATTCTTGAAGTTTTTAAATTTGTTGATCTACATTAAATATGCAAACAATTGATCCGAAGTTGATAGAACACCTGTACCTATAATATTTTATACGATTTTTTCATAATTGTTTACAATTTACTGTAAAATTGCAAACACTGCCACCATGTTTGCGTGTTGCAGGCACCGAATATATCAATCCACCATTTTCTTGTGTGTAGATTTCAGTTGGAGAAGAGCAAGGCATTCAATAGCTCCAACTTGATTGACAGAACAACAGAACAACAATCGACGAATAAGAATCAAATATTTTTATGTGTGCAGCGTGAAGCTCGGTTGGTTATTTATGTTCTCAAAGCTGGACCCCCGCCACTAAGATATACATAACAATAGCCTCGGTTGATTCCACCAACAAACAAACCCAACCCTTCAACCAATACCCGAATCCGTCATTATTTTGTCGTTTTACAGTGTCGTGATTTTTTCCTTTACGTTCTTGATGCAAAGAGCAAAAAGCCTCGCACGGTGCATTATACATAATCGATACGAACGAACAGAAATAGTTTGCATAATTCTGCACTAAAAGTCCGACTGTTTTAAAGCCACACTCAACGTAACTGTCGCTGTCAATCGTCTTTTGTCATAAGAATACAACCGACCTGATTACACGAACCTGCACTAACAGCAGCTCCAAACACATAAATACACATAAAATTTAATTAATGAAAACTATGAGCGATGTTTACACAGTCGTAAACTTAATAGATATGCTGGTCGATTCTCGGATCAAGTCTTATCTTTCCTCTCATTATTTTACTAATCGTTGCGTTTGCCTATTTTAAGAGGTTGCGGCTCGGCAAGCCGACCATTTGCAAGCAAATATTCACGTACATCAATTAACATAACATACTTTTTATACGTCTTTATTTAAATTACACACCTAGCTTACTTATTAAAATTGTTAGAAATGTCCCTGGAAAAGAACGTTATCGCTATTGAAAGGAACTAACGCACCGGACTCCTCAACGTCGTAGCTACCGACCACATTCCAAGTCTCCGTGAGATTATCTACTGAAACTGTCTCATCGCGAGACACAATAAACATCGGCAACATCTCGTCAGGATTGCCTTCTTCACCTGTGTCTTTACTGCTTGAAGCCACCACAGGATCTTTGTCCACTTCACTCTTCAAGTGCTGAACGATTATCACCTTTGGCGGAGGAGTCCTAAAATTTATTAAAAAACAAATATATTTCTTTAACCAAAACAATACGAGTAATAATTTAGAATTCTATAACACATAATTCTTGTATGAAGAAACGTTCAAAGTTCAACTTCTATAAACCCCTTAAAAAAACATTGTTGGAGTTTTATGCCAATAACACTTACTAAAAACATTTTTTAACTATTATCAGAATTTCTATTACAAAAATATGTTAATTTTTACTAGTAAAAGAGCTATAAACTATTATAGTTATGAAAAAAAAAATAAAGTTCTGTAAGTCTGAAATGTTTTTCCTTAAAAAAGTCGAAATTTCCATTGACTTAAATTTGTCGTTTATTTTTCAATAAATAGATAAATATTCTACAACATTTAAGAACTCAAAATGTATAAAATATGGTTGCAATAAACGCAAGTTTTACTTGGATTTATTTTCTTTCTTTAACTGAGAATGTGTGCGACAAGTATTTTTATAGTATGTTAATGATGTTTTAGCTGAAACACTGTCTAAAACTAAAAAAGAAATAATAAAATTTATGAAAACGCTAATGAAATAAAATTATTGGTAACTCGTAAAATCTGATAAAAGAATTTTTTTAATAATTTCTTGAACTATAAAATTACCTTAAATAGACCAAAAAATTTTTGGCAATAAAAAATAAATAAAACAAAAAAGCTCACTGATTCTTTCATTAAAAACAATTATTGTTTTTGTAAGAATAGAATACATATTAAATTTCATCAAATACAGAAAACGAATAAAAAGAAAAAACTAGAAATTTTATTTTAAAATATAATCAAATTATTGTCACATTATATTTCACCCAATTCTTTGTAAACACTATTAACCCAAATTCATTGAATAAATTAAAACTCAACACATCAATCAATTTAGAAAGTAGGCGTTGATAATATAATTATCAAAATTTTGCTTATAAAACATTGTGTGTTTGTGAACTAACCGGTCTTTTTCACTTGCAGCCTTCGATTCATCCTCTCCGGAACTCGCAGGATTAAATTCGGCACAGTCGCTCTGCTCGTCATAAATTCCTGCAACAAAAGTAGCAGCTTCTCTTCCACTTTTAAACATCTCCGGATGTTGAGTAACAAGATGAACTTTAAAGTCTTTGGCAAAATTACTTTGAAAGGGAGATTCTGCACAAAGTTTGCATTCATAAATATACTTCCCTCGATGTTTACTCGTCAACAAGACATGTTTTCTCAAATTTTCCTGCAATATTTTCTTGTTTAAGATTAGTTTTTTCGCGAAGCATTGATTTACCAAAGTGTTGCATTTGTATGTACAGTGAGGGCAACTATAAGGCTTAGACCCTGTGTGTAGGCGAATGTGTCTTTTCAAATGAGACATCGTCCTCGCTGAAAACGAGCATTTCGTGCAAGCATACTTTTTCGTCCCACTATGGACAGTTAAGTGACTGCAAAAAAAATCGATTTGTGATAAAATTACGTATTCGATCAATTAAGAACAGCAGTAGCGGTTTCCGTTTTAAATTTATAGCCAGCATCGCATTTGGATCGAATACCATCGAGCTGAATAAATAAATTAAGCAAACACTTTGAACAGGCGGCCGGTGTGGTTATGCTCGCATTAATTGACATTTTGGTGAGTCCGAGCTGTAATTAATGCCCTTATCTAACCCGAAATCGGAGCTGGAACTCATTGCTAAACACTGCTTGTCGCTGCTCACCATACTTTATTGGCGCAGGTATTTCAAAGGTAATGGAAATGTGGAACAAAATGCTCGGATTATCTTGAAAAAATCGAACACGGCCGAATTTTTCAAATTTTCGTTCGTATTTGTCGGTTGGGTTGCATCGCTGATGTCCCGTTGATGTCTCTCTTGTACTTACTGTTTTAACTGCTGTTTGGTTTTTCCCCGGTAGTCGCAAATGTTGCAAGAGAAGCTTTTCACGTCGGAATGCGTCCGGAAATGCTGCTTTAACTCTCCCATGCTGCGGGCGGCGAAAATACAGCCTAATTTCGGACATTTGCATAATTTACCCGAATGAGTGGTCATATGTTGTTGGAGAATCGATCTGAAAATAAAATCAATTAGCTCAGAAAAAACTTTATAAATTAATGTTGTGGACTTAATTTACAAAGACTTAGAGTCACGTAATTGCAATGATTTCTGAGATAACATTTGCTTAAAGTCAGGCATTTTATTTATTGCACTTTTGAAATAATTACGTGCAATTCTGAGATTACATTACTCAAATTGTGGGAATATCTAGAGACAATTTAATTAAGTAGATTTAACGACTGGGAACATTAAACAATTTTGACGTTAAACTTATTAGGTGACTTTAGAAACTGTTTTATTGCTATATTTTTTAAGATTTATGTTGGGAATGCAATCGTGATATACCTACTTTACGTGTTGAGAAGTTTAATTCAAGATTTAGATTTATTTTTAATGAAAAGACGGTTAAATGCGCACAAAATGTGAGGTTTCAATAAGAGCAAGTTGGGGTTGATACTTGGTCAGCGTATTCAAATTGAAGGGTTGAAACGCTTTGTTACAGGTAGTTGTCCTATATTAAAAGATAACACTTCAAATAAACTGGTTTTAACAAGTCGATAATAGCCAGGGGGACATCCGAACTGCATCCAAAATTTGAACAGGCAAAAGAGTAATTATAGAAGAAAAAATTATCGCGTCCGAATTGCGGTCTATTTCTAAAACCCGGTTTACAAATATCATTTTGGCACATAAGGGCTTCGCAATGTAGGTTCCGTAATTGTGAAATTTTCATTGATAAATTCTAAAAACACACTTGTAAATGAGAAATGAATGATTTATTAGGTAACAAATTAATTTGGGCAACAAATATTCAGACTCATATACAGGTTACAGACTGGTTCATAAGGTTTGCCAACGTTAATATTACAAAAATACCAGGAATTTTTTCTTTCAAATTGTTACGCATAATATTTTGCTAAATTAGTATTCAATTGCTTCTGTAGCAGTTTTTCTTACATCTGGAAGAGAAAACTACTCCATTTCAACAATTCTAATATCATATTCACACATTATTTCAATATTCTTTTAACATTTCTGAAATGTCAAAAATCAAATTGGATGGCCTACCACGTTTGGACCTTAACTTTGTTAAAATTTTATTTTATTAAAATTTTTGACTAAAAATAATGTGATCGAGAATAAAATAGCATACAAACGTCGGTAGTAATGACATTACCCCTTGTGCTTTATAAGCACTCGGGGTAATGCCATATTTACCATCTCGATTGTAATGTACTATTTCATAATTATTCAGTAAAGGTACAAAAACTTTGCCAATAAAAACCACAAATACCGTTAAATTTACGATACAGCTTCATTGTTTCCTTTTCTAATAACATGCAGCAAAAACACATGCAAAATTATGTTTTTTAAAGCCACAAATAAGAATAAACAGAGTTGCAATTTAGGATACAGCTTCCTTGTTTTCTCTTCTAAAAGCCTGTAGCAAAAAAACTTGGAAAATTATTTTTCCAACAAAAATAAATAGAGTCAAATTGCAAAATTTAAACCTCCATTATGTCGAAATTCTTATAGATGGAATTTTTTAAATATGTTCCTGGTGACTTACCTTACTTAGATTTTTTTCAAGTTCAAGTTTTGAACCACTTTGTATAACAATAAATTCCATTAATAACAACAATGAAAAAAGTGTTTGTAGATGCAATTTTGTTAGTTGTGTTAGTTATAACTTATAAGAAGGTATAAGTGTAATAATGTAGTTTTAAAAAAAAATTACTAAATTTCTTCTCTAGTTTTATCATTTTATAATCATGTATCGCCGCTTAGATTTTGATCGCAATTCGAACAGAGCATTGTGTCAAACCAGGTTTAGTTTTTTTAAGGTGTGATCAATTAGTTTAGATTAGGTAGATATTTTAGAATTCTGTAAATTGGGCTTTAATGGTGTTTAAATATTTTTACTTGTACAAATTTAGTATTGTGATAATATGCAATTAAAAAATAATAATAATAAATAGTTCAAAAAAATTATCCAATTTTTGTATGCGTATGAAAGTGCGTGCAGGAAGTGAATAATTCCCGCACGAGTTCGCATAACAACATAATAGCAACCACTCTAACGTAATTCTCAAATTCAAATTAAAAAAACAATAGTAAAAAAATTCAACTAGGAAATTCTAAGCGACTGTAGGAAAAACGTTGTTCATAACATTTGTATTTAATTCTTGCTTTCGTTTTGAAATTGTTCTCTTACAGCACTCATTATAAAAATAACTACTGTTGCATTTAGTCATTTTGTTAATAAACAAAAGGTAAATACAAGTGTCTTAATTTTTATTATTCAGTTTAAAACACAATATTAAAAAAAAAACACAAAATACCTATACAGGGTGCGCCAGAACTCGCGCCCCAGAGAAAAATGCCATATAAGGTAAGATACCAGGAACATGGAAAAAATGTAAAAAAAAATTTATCTAAAAAATTTTTGAAGTTATGAGGATTTAAAGTTTGCACTTTGACTCTATTTATTTCTGTTGGAAAATTAATTTTCCAAGTTTTTTTGCTATAGGCTATTAAAAGGGGAAACAAGGAGGGAGTATCCTAAATTGTAACTCTGTTTAATGTTATTTGTGGTTTTTAAATGGCAAAATTTTTGTACTTTTACTAAATAATTGTAAAAAACATATACAAGATCATCAGTATTATTAAATAGATATAAAAAAATGTCAAATGTCAAAAAATAAATATCAAAATTTTTTGACAGATAGAATTTTTTAAACATTTTTTTCATGTTCCTGGTATCTTACCTTACTTGAAAATTTTCTCTGGGGCGCGAGTTCTGGCGCACCCTGTATAGGTAACATTAAATTATTGAAGTTTTAATCAGTACTTGGGTAAAAAGTCCTCGATACAAGGCAGATTTATGACTGCTTTAAAATAATATATAACTGTTTGCCAATAAGACACAATAAATGTAGAATGATTATTGGTTTGGTTAATATGTCAATTGATTTAATCGCTGACAGATGTGACCCACTTTTAGTTGACAAATAATTGTAGTTACATCGAGTGACTGAACCAAACCGCCCATTTAAATTACAGTTTTTTCTTGTTACAGTTTATACTTTAAATACTCAATAATGACATTTTTCAAAAACTACTCCAGAAAAACTTATATTTCCCCATTCAATTAATTTATTTTAGTTTGATGTAGGTACTGTTCGATGTTTCACAATATTACTTGTTTGTACATACCTACCTAATTATTCTTGAAGTCCTTACAGGTCATAAGAGCGCTGTTTGTGTAATGTATAGAAGCGGATAATTTAAGTCAATTTTCAAATTCAGATGTGATTGTAGCTCATAATTTATCAGTTTTATGTAAAATCGGTGTTTAGAGAGATGCCTGGCTGGAAATCCAACCCTCAAATTATGATAGGATCCGTTCTCGTTTGTTGAGCTTATAAACAACTCGAGTTCGTATTTTAGCTTAATCCTTGGCTGATTCGTATATCTGTTAAATATGCGACATATTTAATACGGAATTAATAATACCAATTAGCGACATAGCGGTGACATTTCAGTAATGGCCGTCCGCGGCCATCGCCTGATTCATTGGTCTTGTGACAAACCCACGGGGCTTATTAAACAAAAGTCACCGTCGTTATTTATATAATAATTTGTTATTAACGACATGAGATATGCGAGTGGTCAGGTGACAGAGTATGGGAGCCGGCCCACTACCGAGCAAGATTACCAGACCATAATGAGTGACTTATGATGGGGAGATGCTAAGTGTATTCAAGAACCTGTTTATAAATACGCACTGCGACAATATATGTGCATGGCGAGCTAAATGCACAATCCCCGGTATAAACAAGGCCGTATTCACCTTGTTATTTACCGAATGCATTCGAGAGGTATGCCAGAATCGACGAGATAACCCAAGTTCACGGTTACTGACTCATATAGTGCATCTGCCGATTGATCGCGATCCAAAATCCTTGTTTAAACAACACTTTGTAAAAGAACCAAAAAAAATTCATGTGAGGTTTGTTGATAGATCGGAGCTTAAGAAACAACATGGGATCCAAATGACGCTGACTAAGTTTGGGAGCCACAGTTGGAAAAATTTATCATGATTGTCATTTTGTGCATATTTTAGCTCTAAAATAAGCAGGTTTTAGAGACAATCAAAAGAGATTAAAAAGAAAACAAATAGAAACCTATAAATTCGAAGAAAAGAAAAAAAATATTTGCATTTTTGCATACAACTTCACTGTTTATAAACATTGGCAGGTCTTCTTTTATTAAACTACATAACTTTTATATTTAAGACAATCGTGAAAAAGTGTTCTTTGAATTGATAGTCTATTATAAATGGTAGTATTTAATTATTTAATTCCACACATTTGTGTTGTTTCGAAGAAAGTATCAAAATATAGTTATTTTTGTTATAAGTACCTAAAATACAGTTTCTGCGGACAAATCGTTGCTGTTTCCAGACAAGGCGAAGCCGAGTGTGGAATAGCAGATGAATCCGGAAAAACACTTCAGGTAGTTGATACAAAATAGCTATTTATGTATCAAGTACGCAAAATACAAGTACGAGTACCTAAACTGAGTACCTAAAATAACCGTTTTGCGAACTATTTGATTGAGTCCGGAAAAAACTTATTTTAACAGCTGTTTTCGGGAGCGTATACAAAAAATATTACAAAAAAA